ACTCATTTCAATTTTTCTGCTTTCTTCACTTCACATCCTTTCCTGAAAACATTGAGGCATCCATTGGGAGCTCCTTCCAGAATTTACTGGATTCCTTTTATCATCTTCTTTCCTTCCATCTTAGTGGAAGAATATTTTTTGTCCTTCCTCCTGGTTAACACATTATTTCATTTTTCTCTTCTTTCCTACTTAATGGAGTATGAGTTACTCTTTTGTCTTAGAGTTCTTACAAGTACGAATGTGCTTAAGATTTCTTCCATTTACAAAAACCTTCCCTTGAGTCTGCTACTCCCTCAACCTGTCTTGTTGCTGCCTTTCCTTTTCAAATCATATTAACAATAAAAATAAATTAGGTCCTTATAAAAGTGATACATGTTCGTTAAGAAAAATAGAGCAAAATGAAGTAAAATTACAATTCACTCCTTCATAATCCCAACTCTAGACATTGCCAAGAGCAGTTTACTTTTCCTGCCTTTACTTCCTGGCGATCCATTCACTTCTTAACCCCTTATTATCTGGATTTCACCTTCACAATGGTCACCTGTAACCTAATAAACACTTTTAAAGCCCCCTTTCCAAGTCAGCTTGAGCTTTTTGTAGCATTTAACATCGACCCATCATTCCTGAAATACTTTTCCTTGTCCATCATTCACCTGTCCATTTCATTCAACGAATACTTACTGTATTCTAACGTAACACATGAGTCAGTAGGAGGCAACAACAGGTATGGCGCCTTGCCTTCATGGAGCTTAAAGTCTACTGAAGGAAACGTATATTGAAGAATGAATTCTATAATTAAATATAATTGTATAGATAAAGTACAGAGTATTTATAAGAGCTTAAAATGGGGGCCTGACCTGGTGCTGGTGTATGTTGGAAGAATCTCAGAAGGCCTTCCTAAAAATGTTACATTGGAACCCTGTGACAGTTCTGAAGGATGAGTATGAATTAACTAGAGCTTCTGTGACATTATACTGACCTCGTTACTCTTTGCTCCTTTTCACTTTCTGTTCTTCTTCCTGATTAATGTAAGTGTTCTCCAAGTTTCACTTTTCAGATCATTTTTCATACATCTCTGGTCCTTTGACATTGTTTCAGACCCTTCTGTCTGAATAATTCTCAAATCTCTATTCTTTATTTCCCTTCTGCCCTTGAATTCTGGTTTTTCACATTGTTTTATGCCTACCTCTACCTGATTATTCAGGTTCAAAGTGAACTTGTCCTTACCAAACTTGTTTCCCTGGTGTTCCTTATTTTTGTTGATGTTATCCCAAACCTAGTCCTTTCCCCATCCCATCACGTGTTGTCTGTAGCCAACATCTATTGGTTCTGCTTTCATGGTATTGTCACTCTTCTCTCTCTCCATGCCCGCTCTGGTACAGTTCTTAATACATGTTGGTAACAAGGTTATAATAGATTACAAAATGAGTTGGGCCGCTTTCCTTCTTGTTTTCTCTTTTCAGGAACAGTTTAGACTGGGATTATCTTTTTTTTTTTCTTTTCTTTTTTTTTTTTTGCGATACGCGGGCCTCTCACTGTTGTGGCCTCTCCCGTTGCGGAGCACAGGCTCCGGACGCGCAGGCTCAGTGGCCATGACTCACGGGCCCAGCCGCTCCGCGGCATGTGGGATCTTCCCAGACCAGGTCACGAACCCACGTCCCCTGCATCTGCAGGCGGACTCTCAACCACTGCGCCACCAGGGAAGCCCCTGGGATTATCTTTTACTTGAGAGTTTGGCAGAACTCACCTGTAAGAGCATTCAGGCTTATATATATATTTTTTTTTCCTGGAGAGGAATTTGAGTACTATTTCAGTTTATTTAATAGCTGTTGATCTGGGTAGGTTTTCTATTTCTTGTGTGAATTTTAGTGTTTAATATTTTTTCCAGAAATTTATATATTGAGTTTTCAAATCTAATGTTATTTGGTTTTCACATAATTCTTTTTTCTTTAAATTTCATTGACTCGATATACTTGTATACAGTATTATGTCCTGTGTATATATTTGTATATTTGATAATTTTGCCTCTTCAATCTTTTTTTCTTTTTCCTGCTAGCTGAATCAGGTTCTCATCCCACCTGGCCTAATGTTATGATCTTCTTGCCTTTACTTCCACCTTTATCCAGGTTAACTTATGCATTTCTGCCTAAATTAATCTTGAATCCCATTCTTGTCACTTCCCCAATTAGAAGTTTCCAGTGTCTTCTATTAAATGAAATTGTTTCCTTGGGATTTGCCTCAGATTTGCCAGATTCTTATCTTCCACTATTTTTGCTTCCTGCACAAGTTCTTTCCACCCTTCTTCTGCTGTTGCTTATAACTGTCTCTCTACTGGGACTGCATAAATAGTTAATTGTCACATGTACAAGTCCTGCCTCCGTCAGGCTCCATTTCAAATTCCATCTCTTTTTGAAGTCTTCGCCATTTTCTAATTCTGGATGGAACCCCTTCTGAAGAAAGGGATTTTCTTTTTAAAAAAAAAAAAATAATAATAAATTTATATATTTATTTATTTAGTTTTGGCTGCATCGGGTCTTCATTGCTGCACATGGGCTTCTCGTTGCAGTGGCTTCTCTTGTTGCGGAGCGCAGGCTCTAGGCACACAGGCTTCAGTAGTTGTGGTGCGCGGGCTCTAGAGCGCACGCTCAGTAGTTGTGGTGCATGGGCTTAGTTGCTCTGCAGCATGTGGGGTCTTCCCGGACCAGGGATTGAACTCGTGTCCCCTGCATTGGCAGGATTCTTTTTTTTTTTTCTTAACATCTTTATTGGAGTATAATTGCTTTACAATGGTGTGTTAGTTTCTGGTTTATAGCAAAGTGAATCAGCTGGCAGGCAGATTCTTAACTGCTGCGCCACCAGGGAAGTCCTTATAGCCAACTTTTAATAAATGTTACTGAAGTATAGTTGATTTACAATGTTGTATTAATTTCTGCTGGATAGCAAAGTTGATTCAGGATATTGAATATAGTTCCCTGTGCTATACACTAGGACCTTGTTGTTTATCCATCCTATATATAATAGTTTGCATCTGCTAATCCCAAACTCCCAATACTTCCCTCCCTCATCGCCCTACCCCTTGGCAACAAGAAGTCTGTTCTCTGTGTCTGTGAGTCTGTTTCTGTTTTGTAGATAATTTCATCTGTGTCATACTTTAGATTCCACATATAAATTATACATATTTGATATGATATCAAATATCTTTGATATTTATCTTTCTGTGTCTTATTTACTTCGCTTAGTATAATAATTTCTAGGTCCATCCATGTTGCTGCAAGTGGCATTATTTAGTTCGTTTTTATGGCTGAGTAATATTCCATTGTACATATATACCACATCTGATCCATTCATCTGGATATTTAGGTTGTTTCCATGTCTTGGCTATTGTAAGTAGTGCTGTATAGCCAATATTTTAAAGGCTGTCAGTTCTAAAAAAATATTGATAGGGGCTTCCCTGGTGGCGCAGTGGTTGAGAGTCTGCCTGCCAATGCAGGGGACACGGGTTCGAGCCCTGGTCTGGGAAGATCCCACATGCCGCGG